TAAACTCCTTTTCAGGAGATACTGATGACCTAGAATGATACAGAGAGGGATGCAATCTGAATCTGACATCAGGAGAGAGACTGGTCCTTAGACGGTTGTTCAGAAGTAGTATTAATTGTGTGAAGTGTTTTGATAGATGGACTTTTGCAAATGATTTATTGAACATCTCGTATAAGTGGTACCATGCAGTATTTGTTCTCTGTTACTGGCTTGTTTCACTTACCTTAATGTCCTCAAGGATTATCCATGTTGATGCATATGGCAGATTTTCTTTTTAATGTTGCTTAATATTCCATTGTATGTGTAAGCCACATTTTCCTTTTCCATTCATCCCATTGCAGACTAAATGCTGATGAAGTATAATAGTAACTAATGAGTGGAAATATTATTTTTGAGAATCCCCTGTAAATATATCACATATTTCTCTATTTGCTAATGATCTACAGCCCTATAACTATAAAATAAAGGTAAGTCATAACATGATTTATCTTTAATGGAGATAAATTGGCTAATTTGTATTTACACTATAAATGATACTTTATTATGTATTTTTATTGGTAGTTTGGTAGTTTGTAATTGATGAAAACACTTTATTATTTTTCATGCACATACTATTGGATATAAAGTCATATTTAAAAATAAAACAGAGGAAATTTTGTTATTTTAATCTGAAGGCTAATCCTTCCTCTAAATGCCACCACTGATAGACATTTAGGTGTTTCCACATCTTGGCTATTATGAATAATGTAGTAGTGAACACAGGAGTGCAAATATCTCTTTGAGATCCTTATTTCAGTTCTGCATAGATACCCAGAAGTAGGATTGCTGGATCATATGGTGTTCTGTTTTTCATTTTCGAGAAACCTCCCTACTGTTTTCTGTAGGCTGTGCCATGTTAAATTCTCACTCACAAAGTGCAGGGGGTCTGGTTTCTCCACATCCTTGCTAACGTTTGTTATCTTTTTTTTGTATATATATAATAACCATCCTCACAGTATGAGGTATTTATTTCATTGTGGTTTTGATTTGCATTTCTCTGATGATGAATGATATTGAGCATCTTTTCATGCATCTGTTGGCCATTTATATGTCTTCTTTGGAGAAGCTTGTCAACTTTAGGAATGGTGAATAGGTAGTGAGAGGTAAGGGTCAGGAATTTCCTCGTACTAAGATTCCATATAATGGGAGAGAGTTAAAGGTCTGTAAGAATATTGAGATCCATATAGGAAAGAAGTTGAGTGCTGGGCAATCCAACTTGACAAATCAAGTAACCACTGCATGGTTTATCCTTGATTGACTGACCTGAAGGCAGGGAATGACTTGTGGAAGGCATTGATCCATCATCTGCTGACATTCAATGTGTTCCTGAGAAGCCTGATATTTGTTCTTTTGTGGATGAGATTTTATTTTTTAAACTATCAGGGAGTTTATATATCCTTTTCTTTATCTTCAGTGTTCTGAAATTTCATGCCATGTGTTGAGGTAGGCACCTTTTCTCATTTACGGTCCTGAGCACTTGGGTATTTCAATCTAAAGACTTTTACTTCTGAGAAATTTTCTTCTCTTGTTATCTGATAGTTTCATTTCTCTCTTTTTCTTAATTCTTTCTGAAACATTTATCAGGAGGATGCTGGGCTTGCTGGATTGCTTCTCTAAGTCATTTGTTTTCTCCCCCTTTTTCCTGTTTCTGTGACTATTTTTAGTGGGTTTACTTTACTTTATTCTGCAGCTTATCTCTAAATTGTTTCTGCTTCATAATGTCCTGTACTTGTTTCACAGATAAATATATTTACATTCTTTTGAGAATACTAAGTAGACTCGTTTAAAATATGTATCATATAATTCCATGGATATCTCTTTTTTGGCCACTTTTCATATATAATGAGCAGTCATTCAAAAAGTCATTATTTTTGTCTTTTTATCAGCTTTATTGAGATATAATTCATATACCATTTAAAATGCACAATTCAGTGGTTTAAATATATTAACAAATGTGTGTAAACATCACCACAATCAATTTTAGGACATTTTCATCACCTGAGAAAAAGACTCTACATCATTTAGCTACCATCCCACTGCTTTCCATCTCCTTCAGCCCTGAGCAACCACTAATCTACTTTGTGTCTCTCTATATTTCCCTATTCTGGACATTTCATATGGGTGGAATCTTATAAGATGCAGTTTTTTGTGACTGGTTTCTTCCACTTAGCATAATGTTTTCAAGGCTCATCATGTTGTAGAATGTATTAATATTTCATTTCTTTTTACGGCTGAATAATGTCCCATTGTATGGATTTACCACACTTTGCTTATCCAAATATATAGTGGATGGGCATTTGGTTTTTTTCAGCCCTGATTATTATGAATAATGCTGCTATATACATTCATGTAAAGTTTTCTGGTAGGTGCATATTTTTATTTCTCTTGGGCATATACCTGGGAGTAGAATGTTTGCATTAAGTGTTTCAATATCTCTGTACCCTCCCTAACACTTGTTATAATCTGGTTCTTGATTCTAGTCATCCTTACTGGATGTGAAGTGATATCTCATTGTGGTTTTGACTTACATTTCTCTGATAACTAATAATGTATAACATCTTTTCATGTATCTATTACCAGCTGTAGATTTTCCCTGGAGAAATGTCTATTCAGACTCTTTTTTTTTAATTGAGTTATTTGTCTTTGTATTATTGAGCATAGGATTTCCTTATATATTCCATATGCAATTTCCTCCCCCTACCCACTCTCCTCCATATGCAATTTCTTTATCAGATATGTGATTTGTGAATATTTTTTCCATTCTTTGCACTATCTTTTCACTTTCTTGGTGGTGTCCTTTGGAGCACAGAGAATTTTAGTTTTGATGTGGTTCAAATTATATATATATATATATATATATATATATATATATATTAGTTGTCGTCATCATTGTTCTTGTTGTTGTTGCTATGGTTTTGATGTCATATCAAAAAATCTTATGTCGCATCCAAGGTCATGTGTTTTCTTTTAAAAGTTTAATAATTTTGGTTCTTAAATTTTGGTCTTTGATCTATTTTGAGTTAATTTTTTGTATACGGTGTAAGGTAAGCATCCAAATTCATCCTGTCCAGTTGTTTGAACATAGTTTGTTGAAAAGAGCATTATTTCCCCATGTTAGTGATTTGGCACTCTCAACTCTATTCCACCGACCCATATGTCTATCCTGGTCTCAGTAGCATACTGTTGGTAACTATTGCTTCATAACATGTTTTGATATCAGGAAGTATGAGTCCTCTTACTTTGTTCTTCTTTTTCTCTGTTTTCTCTTCTCGTCTTTCCTTTCCTTTCTTTTATTTCTCTCCTTTCCTTCCCATTTTCCACTTTCTTTCCTTTTTTCTAATGTTTGTTTATTTTTGAGAGAGAGAGAGACAGAGAAACAGAGAGAGAATGAGCAGGGGGAGGGGCAGAGAAAGAGGGAGCTACAGAATCTGAAGCAGGCTCCAGGCTCTGAGCTGTCAGTACAGCCAGGCTTGAACTCATGAACCGCGGGATCATGACCTGAGCCAACGCCAGACACTTAAACAACTGAGCCACCCAGGTGCCCTCCTCCCCCCCACCTTTTTAACCAATTTTTAAAATAATAAATTTATTCCCTATCCTCGTCCAAGGAAACCTATTGGATTATCTTAATATTATTGTAATAGTATTATGATAAACTTATGGATTTAAATGTATTCTGAGCTTCAATCAACTGTAATTGTCCTTTTTGAAATCATTCCATGTTTTGTTCTTCAAGCTGACTTCTAAGTACAGCTGGGGTTCCTAGTGATCTTAAATAATTTGTGTCTGTCTGGTATGACAAAGTGTTTCAGGGTTGTCCTGGGCATTTCTTACCCTAAACATGGACTCAGCCAAGAAGTTTTGCTCACTTTTAGTGGAAAATGTTATTTTAAGACAAAATGTGAATGCTATGGAGAATCATTGTTTTTTGGTTGGTCCGTGTTTTGAGTCCTCTTTGGTGGAAAGAGCTGAAAAGTTTCTATCCTGTGTGTGACTGTGTATCAAAGGTCAATTTAGAATTAGTTCTACAAAGAACTCTATATACAATGTTCACCACCAATCCTTACGTCAATGTCTTTCTAGTATTTGGTTTTCTGAAATGTATACTTTCTCAAAGGGATTTCTCAAAGGGATCTTGGGAACATTTTCCCTGAGTTCTTGCATTTTGATAAAAGTTTGTATGTGCCCTTTAAACTTGAAAGTGAGGTCTTGAGGCATAAAAATCCCTGAGTCATACATTTCCTTTTTGACTATTGTAAAAACATTACTTGATTTTCTTCTGCCATAAAATATTAGTTTTGAAAAATCTGATAATAGGAAACTACAGAGCAGTATATCTAATGAACATAGATAAAAGAATCCTTCATAAAATTAGCAAATTGAATATAAAGTAGTACTTGCACAAAATAGTACATGACCATATGGCATTTATGCCAGGAGTTCAAGGTTGCTTTAGTATTTGAAAATCAATTAATGCAATTCACCTTATTGACAGAAAAAAGGGAGAAGAAAACATAATCCCTTCAAAAGTGAAGAAAAATATTTGACAAAATTTAACATTCATTTATGATTTAAAGAAATCTCAACAAGTGATGAAAAGAAGGAAAATTTCTCAACCTGATTAAGACTATCTTCAAAAAATCTACTGCAGAGACGCCTGGGTGGCTCAGTCAGTTAAGCATCTGACTCTGGCTCAGGCCATAATCTCATGGTTCATGGGTTAGAGTCCTGCATCAGGCTCTGTGCTGACAGCTGGGAGCCTGGAGCCTGCTTCTGATTCTGTGTCTCTCTCTCTCTTTGTCCCTACACTACTTGTATTCTGTCTCTTTCTCAAAAATAAAAACATTTAAAAAATTTTAAAAATCTGGGACAAAGGAAAACGAGGCCGGAGCTACGGGCGCTTTTTCTGCCCGCGGTGTCTCAGATTCATTCTTAAGGAACTGAGAACTTAACCTTTCAAAATGTCAAAAAGACCATCTTATGCCTCACTTCCCACCCCAGCTACTGCAACACAAATGCCCAGCACACCAGGGTTTGTGGGATACAATCCATACAGTCATCTCGCCTACAACAACTACAAGCTGGGGGGGAACCCGGGCACCAACAGCCGGGTCACGGCATCCTCTGGTATTACGATTCCAAAACCCCCAAAGCCACCAGATAAGCCTCTGATGCCCTACATGAGGTACAGCAGAAAGGTCTGGGACCAAGTAAAAGCTTCCAACCCCGACCTAAAGTTGTGGGAGATTGGCAAGATTATTGGTGGCATGTGGCGAGATCTCACTGATGAAGAAAAACAAGAATATTTAAATGAATCCGAAGCAGAAAAGATAGCGTACAATGAATCTATGAAGGCCTATCATAATTCACCAGCATACCTTACTTACATAAATGCAAAAAGTAGTGCAGAAGCTGCTTTAGAGGAAGAAAGTCAACAGAGACAGTCACGCATGGAGAAAGGAGAACCTTACATGAGCATTCAGCCTGCTGAAGATCCAGATGATTATGATGATGGCTTTTCAGTGAAGCATACAGCCACCGCCCGTTTCCAGAGAAACCACCGCCTCATCAGTGAAATCCTTAGTGAGAGTGTGGTGCCAGACGTTTGGTCAGTTGTTACAACAGCTAGAATGCAGGTCCTCAAACGACAGGTCCAGTCCTTAATGGTTCACCAGCGAAAACTAGAAGCTGAACTTCTTCAAATAGAGGAAAGACACCAGGAAAAGAAGAGGAAATTCCTGGAAAGCACAGATTCATTTAACAATGAACTTAAAAGGTTGTGCGGTCTGAAAGTGGAAGTGGATATGGAAAAAATTGCCGCCGAAATTGCACAGGCAGAGGAACAGGCTCGCAAAAGGCAGGAGGAAAGAGAGAAAGAGGCAGCGGAGCAAGCCGAACACAGTCAGAGCAGCATGGTTCCTGAGGAAGAGCAAGCTGCCAGTAAGGCTGAGGACAAGAAGGACGACAAGAGCGTCCCGATGGAGACAGAGGAGACACACCTCGAGGAAGCGACGGAGAGCCAGAATGGTGAGGAAGGCACATCTACTCCTGAGGATAAGGAGAGCGGGCAAGAGGGGGTGGACAGTATGGCTGAGGAAGGGACCAGCGAGAGTAACACTGGCTCAGAGAGCAACAGTGCAACCGTAGAGGAAGCGCCAACAGACCCCACATCGGAAGACGAGAAGAAAGAATAAATGTTGCCTTGTTTTATGTGTTCTAAATACTTTTTTAAATGAAAAAAAATGTTTTTTGAGTTTAAAAAAATTTTAAAAAATCTGCTGCAAACATCATATGCAAAGATGAAAGTTTCAGTGCTTTCTACCTAAGTAAGATCAAGCTTAGGTAGAAACACTATTTCAATACTTCTGTGTATCACCAATTCCAATCATGTAAAATATATTCAATTCCTTTCCTTATTTAGATGGTGACTCATTTAGCTTTTCATCATTCATCAGCATGTGTTTATGGAGGACATAGTCTGTCAGGTGCTGGGTCAGGCAGAGAGGATACAAGTTTGAATAAGACATGAACTTGGCCCTCAAACAATCGCACACAGACCACTATGCAGTGGGATAAGACAAACACAGCGTTGTGTACACATTTCCTTGGTGGCACAGAGGAAGAGTGACTAGCCTGGTATGAGCGGAACATTGGGTTTACAAAGGGCTTGATCCTGAACCATGTTCTAGGTTCAAAGAACCTTGGGCATGAGGAAGACATGCCCCAAACGGGGGCTGGAATGTCCCAAAGCATGGAGCTGAGCCAGAAGCCTGGTTTGCTCTGTAATAGTGATACCTCATATGGCTGGGATAGAAGGTGTAGGTAGAAAATGGCGTGATACGCAACCAGAGCGTCAGCAAGAGGGTACTACTTGTGAAAGATTAGATATAATTTTCAAGGTAATGAGGATTTTAAAATAGGAAAGTGACAAGGTCAGATTTGTGTTTTATTAAGACAATTTAGGATATGGTGCTAAAGATGGATTTCAGCGGGAGAGAAATTGGAACCTTCTGCAAGAGCCTCAGGGAGATGAAGAGGGGCATATCTGGAAGAGTGAGGAAAGAGAGACGGGATACATTCATTTGGCAGGACCTTGGGAAATATGAAATTTAGCAAGCGAAGGAGAAAATGCATTAAAGGATGGTTCTTGGAGTTCTGACTTGGGTCACCAGATGGATAATAGACCCATTAACCAAAACTGGGTATACAGGAGAACATTTGTTTTGATGAGTGACAAAGACACTGAGTTAAGTTTTGGAAATGTTGAATTTGAGATGCCTGTGGGGGCACCCAGCAAGAAATATCCAGAATACCAATAAAAACACAGGCCTTTTACATAAACACAGAAGCATGAACTGGGGATTATCTATTATTGATGAAGTCATCATCACATATGCAGTGCTTAAAATTATTGGATCAGATGAATTTTCCCAGTGTGAGAATGAAGAGTGAGAAGTACAGTGCATAGGAATGGAATGTTGTGAATAGTAACATGCAGACTTGGTATGGAGCTTCTTTGCACAGTTGGGCAGGTTGTGCACAGCACATTTCCAGGCACTGATCGTATCAACGTCCATGGGAAGGGCAAACTCTGGAGTTGTGTAGTGCACAGCCTATGTGGCTATAAGTGGTGACTGGTTGAGGAAAAGACTGTGTAGAGCTAGGAAAGGATTAGAGATAGGAGCAGAATGAGGAAAGAATGTGACACAGAAACCATAGAAACAGAACATTTCTCTAAAGAGGAGGGAGCAAAAAACTATGTCTGAAAGCTCTGAAGAAATCTAGTAGTTTAATCTTAAAGGTTTGCCTGTTAGGAGCTCTTTGGTGACTTTTCGGAGAGAAGTTTCCATGCACTGGTGAGGACAAAAGTTCTAACTCCATGGGTGGCCACGTGGGTGAGGGTGAGACCCTGGAGACTAGAATGCAGACCAGTCAACGGTGCTGAGTGTGAGGAAGAGAAGGGAGAGAACCCAGAAAGCTGGGAGGCTTCGTTCGGTCCTGCTTGTACCTCGGTGTGTACCACAGAGAGGAGCCGGAGTGGAGAACTAGCTGGTAAGAAAGGAAGGACATGCCACAGAGAGTACTTTGGCAGGAAAAGTGAGAAAGATGGAGGAACACCGAGGTGCAAATAAAAAAATAATGGAAACGCAGTCTCCACCATCACCCCAAATGAGGTCTTTTCCCTCCAGCCCTGGGAAACTGGGGAAGGCTGGTTTATTTCAGGGGCATGTGGAGAGTGTGTGTGTTGGGGGATGGAGCCCTTCATCGTGTGGGCACGGCGGGGGGGGTGGGGGGAATGACCTTACATGGCAGCTTTGTCGAGCGACTGTCCCAGGAGAACACGGGCAACCACACATGAGAGGCAGGCCTCCCATCCGGTAATGGGAGGGTCTGGAGGGTTCTCTTGGGCTCGAGGACTTGTTTTCTCATAGGCCCACAGCAGCCTCCACTCAGCTTGTCTCCTCCCTCCACCGTGCCCCCTTGCCTGTGTGCAGGGGTCCTCTCTGGCCTGGGGTCCGCAGTTTGTCAAGAACTTATGAAGTTCCCATCAGGTGCCAGATGCCACTCTAGGCCCTGGAGTTGCAGCTGAAATATTCCTATATTATAGGGAGGGTTGGCTGTTGAAAACACCAAAATAAATGAGGGCAGATAGTGATCGGAGCTAGTGATAAGGGCACCCCCGGTCATGCTCTGTCTCTCTCTCTCTCTCTCTCAAATATAAACAAACATTTTTAAAAAAGCGTTTAGAATCACCTGGATAAACTTCAAAATACACTGAGGGTCCAGCCCAGAATTGACTATGTAATTTGTGGGGCTCTGTGCCAAAAAAAAAGTGGGGCCCCTGGTTCCAAAATTAATTAAGAATTTCAAAATGGAGGCAGCAGAGTGTTACACCAAGCACCGGCTATTCTGAACTTGGGATCCTGTAGACTGCACAGGTTGGATACTGTAGAGGAGACCCCTCATGTGCAAGCAGTGGTGCAGACTCCGTGGTTCTTCAGCTTGGTGCATCACAATAAATCAAGGAAGTTGTTAAAGCACAGAATTTAGAGTTTCTGACTGACTGGGTCTGGGGAGGAGCCCTAAAATTTGCAATTCTAACAAGATTCCAGGTGAGGTTGCACTGCCCTGTATGGTCTGCACTATCTTTATGTTCTGACCTCTGCCCAACTCCAGAAGATGGAGTCTTGAGCTCAAGCCATAGGGAACTCCTCGCCGCTGCTCACATTGCTCATGCTTTCTGTGTGCCTCCGTGCAAGAGCTGCAGATCTGTGTCTGCAGGAAAAGTTCTGATTCCTCCTTCAAGATTCCTTGCTTGCCAATCCCTCTCCTGCTGCCCTGAAGCAGAGAGGCTCCCATGCTCTGCTGTACATCAGCCACCGCTATGCTGACTGGCTGCCTGTCTGCATCTCAGAGAGCAGACTATCTTTCATCTGTGTCTACGCAGAGCCTAGCACACCGTGAACATCCAACAGTCTGTTGAGAGAATGCATTCATTATTCATTCGAAACAAATACGCGATTGTTCATCGCGAGTACTATTATCTGGATAGAATTTCAGAATGAGTGAAGTTTTTCTTCCAACCCCTGCAAGATGTCTTAAAAATGCATGCTGTTGGTCCCACAGAGAACCAGGGTAGAGACAGAGATAAATCATTGCGGATCAGTTCCTGCAGCTGGAAGAACAACTCAAAACAGTTCTCTACTGAGTCAGCATTTTGATTTTTTGCCTTTAATGAACAGCTCTTTAAGGACATCTTCGACTCTAAAGCTATTACCAGCATCTTTTCCACGGAATGAGGTAGCCTTTTGCAAACAGCAATGGTAGCTTAAGGAAAAGGTCTATCAGTGCTTGCTGTTTTCTTTTGACTGCAGAGGATCAAATATTGGTGGGGTTGGAAAATGATGTGAAAATAAGAATATCAACATATATGAATAGTTGAAAGACTAATTGACAAATATCCAAAGTTGTTGGTCCTTTGTTGGTCCACAGAGCTCTGCTTTGGAGTGTGTGTGGCAGTGGTGGTGGTGGTGTGTGTGTGTGTGTGGTACACGTGGGGGGTGTGGGGCTGTGTGTGTGGGGTGTGAGTTGGGGAGGGAGGGGGGTGGAGAGTACAGGTTCCTTGAGGTTTCTCCCTGGAGGGATCATGCACACCCACATAAAATCCAAATATAATAAATTTTGGAATGCAAGCACAGATTATCCATCTAACTGCAGAGGTGGAAGGCTGTCTTCAGACATGGAAAATGACAGATAATTATCCAGGCTTTTGACAGCATGTCTGCTACCTAATAATTCAAACTACTGGTATGAAGAAGAAAGCCAAGAATCTTGATGAAGTTGGAAGAGAAACCTAACAATCTGCCTCCACCTTCTGCCCTGAAGTCTATTCTTCTGCATTCACTTGCAGGAGGGGGTGTGACGTGGCCCAGCAGAGAATGGCTAAGACTCGGGGGAGCTCGGATTCATCTTTCAGTTCAAGTGCAGTCCCTTTTTCTGCAAATGCTAAGGCACAGTGTAACTCAAAAGGAAAATTGAATAATAATCCCTTACATTTGCAGAGTGCTTCTGAAGTTAAAAGAGATCTCATTTATTTTTTAGGACAATCTTGTAGGGGAGGCGGGATGGGCATCATTGTTCCTTCCTTATAGGTGAGGACTTACAGGCTGTGCAAAATGGTCACTGGCGTAGTGAGTAATAATCCACGTCTCTGGTTTCTCGTCCACATATTCCATTTTGAGATTAAAATGAAGTGCTACTTTTATATTCATGGGGTTAGATTTTTAATAAGGGGCACTTAAAACAGTGCCTGGGCAATTTTATTTGGAGTAATTTGATTAGTGTAGGTTGATATCACAAATTCCCTTTCATCAAAGGGAATATTTAAAGAGAGAATTACATGGATAGTTGTCTCAAAACTTCACTCGATTTTGCTTCCATTCAACTCACGCATTCTTTATTGCCTTACTTGCCTACATATGAGTTGCCTTAACTAAGTTTGAATGATACATGTCACTGGAATCCATCCAGGGACCACAGATGCACTGTCACATTCCTATCTCTTCAGTTACCTGATTTAGGTCTCAAGAAAGAAATGGATAAAAAGTGTTTAAATGCATTTTCTCTAATTGTTAAAGTGCTCTCTCTCTCTCATAGGCACACACGTGTGCACACACACGCACCTCCCCCCCAT